ACCCACCGATGAACTATTCAAGAAAGCTTCATTCCAAAATCTTCAAAATGGCTGAGTTATACGCATTATAGTCAAAATTTCACAATCTTAGATTTTTCAGATCCTTTTTTTTAATGATGATTGCATTGCTGATTTCTTAAAAGCAGGAGAGCTGATTAACCCTCGCATGTGTAGGGGGGGGGGGGGGGTCGGATGGACCCCCCCCCCATGGTTTTTCGCGAATAAATCGCGTAAAAAGCGGCCAATCGCGACGAAACTTTCAGTACCCTCGCATTGATCGATTTTACACCTACCCTGAAAATTTCATGACCCTGACCCAAATGACCTTTGACCTGTGACCTCTTTTCCGAGACCATGTTTGGCCGGAATCGCGATTTCGCGTATGTCGGCTCGCACTAGCCGCGTGTTTGCAGGCTTTTCGTGGTTTCAAACGTTCAAACATGTGATTTGATGTTACTCCCGTGTGTGTCAAGGTCACCTGAAGGTCAGGTCAGGTCATTGACCTTTGGTGACCTCGGGTGACCTCGGTTCACTTTTTCGAGTTTTACATGTTTCTAGGCTAGTTTTTGGAGCTGAATTCGAATTTAGCAACCATTTGAACATTTACGAAGTAGTTTTGGTGACTTCGTAACATGTTACGAAGCTGTCAGAGGCGGTTGATACGTACTACGAATACCCGTCACGACGCCTACTGGTTGACCTGACCTGACCTGACCCGACCTGGTCTAAATGCTTCAAGACATCATCTGTGATCAAAACTAAGACGATATTCGTGATCAGCAGCCCGAAAAACCCCTTAGCAGCCACACTTTACGACTTTCTAACAGGTCCCGATTTTCCCGACTTTGGGTCATTGACCTGACCTGGAAGGTCAACCAATGACCTAGGACCTTAAAATTGGGTATCATCGGCTTCCTCTCGTCACGGGCAACACGCTCGTTTTTTCCGCGAAGCTCTAGCTCGATCAGGGGCCAAACGGCAAGGGGGGGGGTCCAACCGACCCCCCCCCCTACACATTAGAAGCTGGCAAACGCCGCACACATGCGAGGGTTAATATACGTAATGCCGTGAAGTAAAGTTTAACATGGTTTAACCATGGTTTAACTTTAACAATGGAACACATGAAACTGAGTGGCTCCGCCGTTCCATTTTGCAATTGCTGGCTAGCGCGGACAATTTTGAGCCAGCGCCCACGCCCCGCCAGCCACGGGGAGGCCTGGGTCTACAACGGTGGACGGCAGCCTATTGATGTGCCACTTATTTTACCTATCGCAACCTGATCGATTAAAATTGCCTAATGATTGGCCTATTTTCATTGCATATTCATTGCGCAAAGAGGAAAGTCAATGGACATTAAATGGCAACCAGCTGTTTTACCTCGCGACGAGATAATGGTAAGCAATTATAGGTACCTAATGAGTGATACATCCAGCAGAGATGAAGGGTTATACATTGTTGCTGCATTTAGTGTAGTGAACACCATTACGCCGTCACCAATTGTGCTAATTTTATGAATGGCTTCTGCCGGCTGCGTTCAAGTTGCGGTATGTTGTCGCCGGTGCTCCAGACTGCCTTGGGACGGCTCCGTGCCTGTCTGGCCGGGATGCCCGGTCCGCTGCTCGCCTGACCTTGCCGAGGCCGGCAGCACTCTATTATCAGGGATGCGGGTAGCGGTGCACCCTCGGTTATCACACGGGGCATTCCACGTCAAATCAAACACCGAAATCCGTCATCCCCTTCGATTTTTCTGAAAATTTGTAGGCAGACTGGGCATGGTTCAAAACTGAGTTACGTGTAATATTTTCGCAATTTGATAACGTATCGCCGAGATATAGGTCATCGAATATAGCCAAAAATGCCACACATCATTTTTTTAAATGCTTATAACTCTGGTTCCTTTTCTGGTATCAAAATGATATTAACAGGGTCTTGTAGGCAATTGATAAGGCTTTGATTTTTAATTATAGAATTAAATTGAAGTGACCTTGAAATGCATTTGACCTTGAATTAAAACAGAAAAATTTAAATAGCAAAAAACACGCCACCTTCGATTTGAGTAATTTTTACATATTATGTCCGTCACAATGTTCCTAACCATCTGTGAAAAAATTGGAGTGGGCCATTCATAACCTTCGCGGCAAACGCCGTTTTCATGCATCAACATCACGCAACCGCGCGTGACCTTGAAAGACAGAGTCAAGACATGCTTGCTTGTGTACACTTTCTGAAATGAATGATTGCTGATTAGTGATATCCCAAACTCTGCGAGAATGGAAATGCATAGTCATCGTAGTCAAGCATTCACGTTCCATTGTAAAAGTGTCTCAGGCAAACGGTATTTTGCGGTGAATTTTGAGCCGTGTGGAAATGCATCATGAAATAAATTCAACGAAAACATTATCACGCAACGATATCTTCACGTCTTTTGATCTTCACTATACGAAAGAACATACATTTTTGAGCATGTATGGGGAATTTCTAGTTAATCCGATAATAAATATGGCAGTTAGAGTCCTGCTAAGAGTAACATGTCGCCGGCTGAGGCGGGATCGGCCGACGCGGGAAACGCAGCAGTCACAATTTTGTGTTTACACGTTCATATTTCAATTGTTTACCAACCTATTTTCAGAATTCTTTCGCCAAAAGATTGCCTGTACATTTCTTAGTCTTCTCACAAAATTTGACGCGAATCGAACGGAATCAGCGGTAAGGAGCGCGATGTAAAGACGGAACCGTTCCGTTCCGTCCCGGCACAGTCTACAATTCAGGCGGCGCGTAGCGGTCGGCGCCGGCTGCCGAGTCGCGGCGCGACAGGATGTTCACTTTACACCGCTATTACTAGAACAGTTGTGAACCGATTTTCTTATTGCTTGCACGATGAGATGTGCAATTCAATTCTGGACAGGTAGCCATAAGTAATTTCGCATCAATATTATGAGATATTGGCGAAAAACAGGAGGGGTGGGGCGAAATTCACTCTTCCCCCTCCACTGCGTGTGCTAACATACGTTTGCATATGTGCCATTTTCTTCAAAACCTATGAATGGCCCACTCTAATTTTTTCACAGCTTGTTAAGAATATAGTAGGCAATAAAATATATGAAAATGAGCCAAATCGAAGGTGGCGTGTTTTTTGCTATTTCAATTTTTGTGCTTCAGAACAGAGTTAAGCAAATTTCAAGGTCATATATTTAAGTCGATGCCATTCTAAACAAATGCTTAAGAAACTACCTAAACAGTAAGGTTTATTTCATTCAAATCAAACAAGTACAACCAAAGTTATGGTCGTTCAAAAATATAAAGATGCAACATTTTGTAAAAATTTGATGCCCTATATTTAGAAGACCTGTGGTCAGAATGTGCAAAAAACATCAATGTAATGTCCGGGGCGACACAGGAACTCGCTCACAAATTTATAATGAAATCGCTGATGGTAAGGTGCAAAACAGCCGGTTTTTGTTCGATTTGACGTGGAATGCCCCACACGCAACACTCTGCCCGGAGCACCGACTGTCAACACACGCAACACTCGGCCGACGGAGAGCCGTCCCGATCAATCAGGCATCACCAATAACATTCAACTACCCACGATGGTCTGGCAAAATCGTTTCCTTTTTAAAATTCAATAATAGCCGTAGCTAAAAATGGTCAGTGATTGATCTGCAATCATATTCAGTTGTCATAATCAGTAATTACTTGATGTAATAATTCTTGGCAAATACCTACGTGTGGGACTTAGGTAGGTACCTATCCCATCAAGTTTACCCCAAGTCCATAATACCTATTTTTAGATATCGCTACGCTTCCTTTTTCGTTGCCCATGCAATATTTAAATATTGTTTCTATTTCTACTTCATTAGGCTATCTATCACTTCAATTGAATAAGCTACCAAGCTCCTGCTGAGGCATCTCCTGACTGCTACAACTATCCAATCATTTCATATAAAAATGGCAAAAACGTTTCCGCTAAAACATCTACCTATTTTTCTGACTTTTGCGTGAATATTTCATGGATTTTAAGTAACAGCTGCCCCAACACCGATTGCCGATTGTTGCCGCATCAGGTGCCGCTGTGCCGTCATCTTCCCGTCCCAGTAAAGCATAGATAGGTATTATCCAATATCGGAGCCTCACGTCCTGACGCGTGTCTGCACAAAAAAAGAAGAAAGCAGGGGCACAGCCAGGAAAAAAAATTCGAAGGGGGCTTGAATTGGTGAGGGCGCCAATTTTGGCTCAGGAGGGCGCCAATTTCGCATCTTAGCCCGTAAAAAGCTATAAAATTGTAAGCCTAAGCGCCAGTGCTGCATGGCGTACCGTTATGGCTTACCGTCGAGGGCGACTAGAGTGTTGAAAGGCGCCTTCAGCGCCCGGAAATGATCATGGAAGGAGCCATCCAGGGCGCTGAAGGCGCCCTGGATAGCGTCTTCACATAGGGCGCCTGCTAGATTTGGGAGGGGCTTAAGCCCAGTGTGCCCCCCTTGGCTGCGCCCCTGGAAGAAATAGATTAATTTTCACGATGTAAGCCATGCAGAATGGTTATGCCATATGTACTGCTGCACAGTGCTCAGTGTTCATTACCTTCATGCAATTTCTAAATTCTTTCGTTACATTTAGCTGTGCTTTCCGTCTGTCATGGTAACCCATGGAAAGGGATGAAAGAAATTTAATGGAAATGGAATCGTAATCACGAATCAGATATAAAAATGGTTTTGCTTTTTACAAATTGATTCATAACAGCATAAATACAGACCTCAATGATCCCCCGACATTATGTGCTAATCAAGGTGCTAATTTACCAGTCTAAATAACGAGTGTAACGGTTCTGCCAGTCATTACCGTGAGAAGCCCCCGTTCCGTTGCCCTGATCACGCCTCTGGGTGGTGTGTTGATTAGCACGTGGCACCGGTCTGCTCGTCCCGCCCCCGGTCGAACAGGCCACTGTTGGCGCCATTCGGCTCGCGGACGCACCTGGAATTTTAATTACAGCGACATTGACAGGCGACCTCCGGCGCTATATAAGGCCGCCGACGGATCCAGAGCGACATTCTCCCCAAAAGCTCGATACCATCGACACCATGCTGTCTCTGGTAAGGCGACTCTCTCAATAACGGCATGCGGGTGTTCTGGCGGGATCTTTGCTGTGACCTTGTGCGATTTTTCGTTTGCAATTTCCTGGTTATGTTTCATATTTCATTAGAAGTGCTTTCAAATCGTGGTATAGTCAGGGTAGCATAAATATGTGAAGTGTCTGTCAGCAGTTCTTTGAAAGACTATTTCCTTCCTGATTTGTTATGAAGTAGGTACAAGATAAGTAACTCATTTGTCATTCTTTTTTATTTTCATTTATTCATTGTTGTAAACTTTTTGTTTTTGTTTTATCATTAAATTATCGAGAAAAAAAGTCATTCATAATTAGGTACAAAGTAATCAAAATATCTGTTTAATGAGTGTTCCGCGCAGTGCCGTGTCGCATGTCAAATTAGTGGCTATCTGCATTTAAATCTTAACATTTGGTCTTTTTCAAACACGGACTAACAAAAAAGATATGTAAATCTAAATCAGCGGCTAGGCTGAGGTGCGACCGTTTTTCTTTGTGGAACATAAAGAGATAGGTGAATATTTCCTTTTTAATTGTTTTATTGAAAATGAAAAACGTATGTCAGAAGCGGTGCGACCGTCTGTGCTAATTACGCAAATCGTTCCCTTGCAGTCTGTGCTCGTTGCGCTAACCGTTCTACTCTGTCTCGCAGTCTGTGGTTGTGCTAACCGTTCTACTCTCTCTCGCAGTCTGTGCTGTCTGTGCAGTCTGTGCTCGTTATGCTAACCGTTCTACTCCGTCTCGCAGTCTGTGCTGTCTGTGCAGTCTATGCTCGTTACGCTAACCGTTCCTCTCTGTCTCACAGTCTGTGGTTGTGCTAACCGTTCTACTCCGTCTCGCAGTCGGTGCTGTCTGTGCAGTCTGTGCTCGTTATGCTAACCGCTCCTCCCTGTCTCGCAGTCTGTGCTGGTTGCCCTGGTGGCTGTCTGCTCGGCTCAGCCGGTCGAGTACCCGGAGGGCGTCAGCCCTGCCGCTTGCCCGAACTACCCGTACTGCGGCACTGATGCCAACACTCTGGCCGCCATCCAGCTGGCCAGCCTGGCGCCGTCCGTGCGTCAGTACCCTGCTGGAGTCAGCGCCGCTGCCTGCCCCAACTACCCTGACTGTGGCTCCAACAGCGCCATCGTCAGCCCCGCTGGAGTGCCCCTGACCCGTCAGTACCCTGCTGGCGTCAGCGCGGCGGCCTGCCCCAACTACCCTGACTGTGGCTCCAACAGCGCCATCGTCAGCCCCGCTGGAGTGCCCCTGACCCGTCAGTACCCTGCTGGCGTCAGCGCGGCGGCCTGCCCCAACTACCCTGACTGTGGCTCCAACAGCGCCATCGTCAGCCCCGCTGGAGTGCCCCTGACCCGTCAGTACCCTGCTGGCGTCAGCGCGGCGGCCTGTCCCAACTACCCTCACTGCTAGTTGTGCTGGTGCGGTGTTGGCAGCAGAGCTGTGAGCCAGGGTGTCTTCAGCGGTCAGTCAGAGGGCAGTTTGCCAGTCAGTCAGTCATTCAGTCATTCAGTCAGTCAGAGACGCCCGGAGCTGTGGCCACTGGCCGGTCCGTAGACCGGAGCTGTGGTCGCTGGCCGGAAAGCAAAGAGCATTGGGAGAATATTCATCATCAAAGTGTCGTGAGATGTTGTAATGTGTTGCGGAGTTTCCGTGGCCCTGAGTGAGTCCGTGGAGCCCGCTAGCACCACATAACTCACGAATGTAAGTCACTGTCACATTTCTGTGATCGGTTCGGGACCAGGTGAAGTGCCTTCCCGGTCCGTGTCTTACGCAGTAGTCGATATTTTGTTGTAATAAAATACGAAGTCATTCACACTGGATTTTGAGATTATACTTTTTAGGCAATATCATGCCGCGCGGTTCTGGGGTGACCAGTGAACAGCATTACAACACCTACTTTACTTAAGTTCTTAAGAACTAGTAGAAATAAATAGAAGCCTGCATTAATCAGTGCCATATAATTAAAGTGCATTCAATGCAAATCACCTCATAAAATTGAGGATGGGGAGGTATCGACGTTTCAGTGACGTTATGTCACGTCAGTTTGAATAAAATCAGCTACTGCTGGCCTGGGCTTGACTTTGGGCCTAGCCAAAGGCTCAGTTTCACCCGTGCTTAATGGTTTAAGAAGGTTCCGTTTCTTAACCCGCGCACCGACGGGGGGGGGGGCGGATATCCGCCCCCCCCTGAGGTTTTTCGCGGATAGCGGGAAAACCGCGGCGCGTAGCACCGCGAAATTTGGTATGACTATTCCCTCATCAATTTTACACATGGTGTGCAAGTTTGAACCTCCTACCTTTTAAGGTCAGGTCACCAGGTCACTTTGAATGACCCAACCTCAAGTCACTTTTTTGCAACTTTGTCACCGTGCCAGAGCTACAGTAGATGTCGGAGGCCTTTGAAAGTCGCAGGATGTTATAAGGTCATTAGTAACTACAATTTGTATATCTCGGAATTTTGATATCGGTGACCTAAGGTCAGGTCAATTTCGCGACCTCCCCATTATAAGTCAATGGGGGAAAAATCAACTCCCTATTTTTACCACTAAAACGGGTCGGAATGGCCCCATATACCATACATGACTTCATATACGATCAACCTTCACTACCTTGAGGTCTGTTTTGCTGTTGAGCAGCTGTGAGGTCATGTGACGTCATCAAAGGTCACCAAAGGTTTTTGGCCAATAACTCCGTACAGGAACAAGATACAGCCGCGTGGATGGTCTCATTGTGTTCAGCTCGTCAAGACGCATCGAATGATATACATGATGACCTCGAGGTCACGTGACCTGAGGTCAACCTTTGACCTTGACCTTTCGAGGTCAACATATATATCATTCGATGCGGATTGACGAGAGGATCACGATGATGCCCTTAGTTTGCTCCTATCTTGACTAATTCGAAAGTTATTCGAGAAAAACTCTCTCCATATCTAGCGCCGCCATTTTGCATTTTTCGACCCCTGTGACGTCATCTTTAACCTGACCTGAAAATGACCTTAGTAAAAATTGTAGATCTTGACCGTGCGTATCCGATGCCGTTTACCGCTTGTCGCTATCTTGCTTCGTTCTCGAGATCTCAGGGGGGGGGGCGGTTATCCGCCCCCCCCCCGTCGGAACTAAGTTGGCGCAGACCCCCGTCGGTGCGCGGGTTAATTGCTTAAAGAAACCAATAAAGTACTTTCATCTCCAGCATACGATACGAAATCATAAACTGGCTTACTTATGGCCACATGTGTCTGAAAGCGAGCGCGAGAGGCATTTAGCAACATAAAATTGCGCATAATTATCAAAATATGCATACCTACAACCGTGACTACAATGACACGCAACTAAGTATCGGGTCGAGTAGACGATTCTTGCTTCTTTTTATATGACACAACACTTAGAGAGGGCATGTCGTATTGCACGTATATTATTTACATCGTACACCACACGCATATATGAAATGTATATCGCGGCGATGGTTGGTGTCTGCCCTGCCTACAGTATAAGGTACAACATCCAAGAGTTCAAACACACAACTCAGGCAGCCCGGACAAAAGCGCAGGGAGAGTGACTAGATTATAACTGACGTAGTATGGCACATGTTTCTCGCCCCCGTGGCCGGCGCTCCGTTCCAGCGGCAGATATGATATGTTTGCACCGGCCGCCTGCGCGACGGCACCGCACCTGTGACCTCCTGGCTTCTGTCCGCCGCTGGTGAAAAGGAAATAACTAAACCGTGCCAGCAGCGCCGGCCAATCGCACCGAACGGCTCAGCGCCGGAACGATAAACAATCATCACAAAATATCAACGGTACAAAGTATGGATATCCCACGAGATTCGAACATCTCGAGAGCCCACGTGTGTTTGGCTTATACGAGACGAACTTTGTCCACAAGCAAGGCATATTCACTCAATATCACGAACAAGAAATAGGAAACATACTAAAGCTCAAAGTGTCCTATCGCTCTGGGCCGGCCCGGGGTCGGCCGGCACGCCGCGCCCGATATCGTCTTGTGCGCCGTCGCAGTCTCCGGCCCGGTGCGCGCCGCAGCACTGGTCGGCGGCCCATCCACAGTCCGCCGCCGCCGCCGCTGCCGCCGCACTCACTCGGCACTAGTATCATTTGGACGCCAATGAGGCGTATGGCTGCGCACCGCCGGCCGCCGACAGCGCGAACGCGTTCATCGTCGCGAACGGAGAGGACATGATACCTCCCATGCCTGTGAAGGAGATGGCATTACGTCAGCGTAACACGTAAGAAAACGTGAACACTGACAGTTACTATCAGCACCAGCCGCTTACAGACGACCATGGCTTCATTCATTCAACAAAAGTCTTCACTGTGAGGTGATGCCCTAGCAGCACTGAAGTAATCGATAAATCGTAAACACGAGTAACCAACTCCCTCAATTTGACCTGAACTAGCCTGCGTTAACTGCGCGCGGTTTGCACTCATCCCCGCCCAACCCACCCTGACCTGACCTGTGCCCGCCCACCCTGCTCAGTCTGCCCTGCCCTTTCCACCCGTCCTCTCCCAGTGAGCTGACCTGACGTACCCATGTTGGAGAACTGCGCCGCCGCCGAGCCGTAGCCGTTCATATAGGAGGCGTGGGTGTTGGTGTTGGGTGTGGGCGTGCCCGAGTAGCCGCGCGGGGAGGCACTGCTGCTCTGGCCACGAGCGTACTCCTCTGTGAACGAGGTACAGCACTGGTCAGTGGTCAGTGATCGTACTCCTCTGTGAACGGGGTACAGTACTGATCAGTGATCGTACTCCTGTGGGGACGGGGTGGAGCAGGCTGCAGGGGTCATCGAATGTACCTACTACACTATGCAGGAGTCCTTGGAAGTATTTAGTAGTACTCGTAACATTTTGGTCAACGGTTGTACTCTTCTGACTTCTGAGTACGGATACATAAGATGTAAAAGCGATAACTTTTTAATCCAGCAAGGGCACCCCTCTGCTGACCAGGGTGCCACGGTTGTCACCGAGTATGCACCCTTCAAAGCCAGGGTGCCACAGTTGCCGTATGCACCCCTCTGGGTGCGGGGTGCCGGAGATGGACCCACCTTCGGACCACTGTCCGTTGGCGGCGTCCGCCTGTACGCTGACGGCCAGCTGCCCGGCGTACGAGTTGAACCCGGACATGGGCGACGGCTGGTTCATGGCCGGGGAGCGCGGCGCCGGCAGCGACAGCTGATTGTTCCGAGGCATACTGGAACGTAAAGGGGGAGGGGGTCAGTCGGTGGGTTAGGGGTGGGATAGCTATGCGGGGTAAGAGGACCATCAAGGTGGCACCCCATGGACGAGATCGGAGTGGTGAACCTTGCGTTGACTCAAAGCTACAGGACGTTGATGAACCGATCCATTAGCACCTAAAAGTCTCCGGATGTCGTTGAGAAGTAGATATGTAATCTACACAAAAGCGTCACACTGGCTCCCACCATCAGCAAAAGCAGAGGTGGCGCCACCTACAGAGGCATGTAAGTACCCACAGAGGCACTTTGTGAGGTCTCAGTGGCGCCACCTAGAGAGGTCCCTGTGGCGCCCTGTGAGGCCCCGGTGGCGCCCTCTGTGGCTCTCCCGTCCACCCCGTGGCTGTGACCGTTACCTGTATAGCGCCTCGGCCAGGTCAGCAGCTCGCTTCAGTATGATCTCCTTGGGCAGCCGCTCCGGATCGCCGGGGTGACGCGGCACCAGCTTCTGCAGCCGCTGGAAGCCGTAGTCGATGGTCGGCTCCGTCAGAGCTGCAAGAAAAACGGAGGAGGTGTCACAGAATGGGATTGGCTGAAGAGCAGCGCTACGGAACGGAGTGGGCTGAGCGGCGGTGTCACGGAACGGAGTGGGCTGAGCGGCGGCGTCACGGAACGAAGTGGACTGAACACTGAACAGCGGCTCTCTGCCGGCGTTACAACACGGAACGGGCTGGGCAGCGGCGTTACAACACGGGATGGGCCGGGCAGTGATGATACAGCATAGGATGGCCTAAGATGGCCATCAACTGTCACGGAACAGAACAAACTAAGTGGTGGCACTCAAGAGACAGAGCATAGACCTGCGGGTGTGTATGCTATGCAGAGGTCTATAAGTAGTGTTACACCTTATAAACTGTGATAATTTAGCAGTTTTGGTAGCTAGATGTACACTTTTGAGGGCGTAGTGAGCTGTGGTGATCAGGTGACTTACAGACGTAGACGAACCGTCCGGGCGCGCCCCTGCAGAACTGTTTTGATTTGTAGCTCAGTGTCACCTCGACCACGCCGGGGATGTGCCGCGGCGGCGTCTGGACCCGAATGGCGTGAGAGGTGATCAGCTGCCGGCGAGGTCAGTGGGGTCAGATCACCGGGGTCAGGGCAGAGGGGCAGGTCACCGGGGTCAGGTCAGTGGGGTCAGGTCAGCTGGGTTAGGGCAGAGGGGTCAGGGTGTCAGTGGGGTTAGGTCAGCGGGGCAGGTCAGTGGGGTTAGGTTACGAGGTCAGGGCAGCGGAGTCAGGTCAACAAGGTCAAGGCATCGTGGCCAGGTCACCGGGGTCAGGGCAGAGCAGGGCGTATTTTAACATGTTAACTGGGTCGGCAATTGCCGACCCAGTCACGGAGAATGCCGACCCAGTGACAGCCGTTTGCCGACCCAGTTGCCGCCCCCTCTAGGATGCAGCACGCACATGCAGGCTAGGTGCCGTCATTCATAGTGAGGCTGCTGCCCTCCGAAATGATAATGCCGCCTCTTAAAGTGAAGCAGCCGTCTATAGAAAGTGATGATCCCGCAACTCAATGTGACAGTGCAGCCCCTAAATCTGTTAGTAGCCCCACTCAATGTATCTAATGGTGC